ATCAAATATCTATCGTCCTTATCTCTCTCCTCCTTTTCTTTGAATTTGCTATTCTCTTGCAACATCTCTAACCTTCGGCACTTATAAGACTTTTATTGAGTCTTAAGTGCCGTAAAACTCTTACTAAAACAAAAAGACTTTCTCAAATGTTTAGCCTTGAACTGTAAAGTTTAAGTACTTTAAAGATTTGAATGCCTTATTTCCTTCTTTTCAGTTCGGCCAAACGCAAGTCAGCCATTGTTGTGCTACAGCTGTGATACTCAGGCTGGCTGCGATCAAAACACAAACGTCAAACGATGCGGCCTAGAATCGGTAATCTATGACATTGCTAAAAGGAATGAGAATATTATGTACTTGAAACTAAAGCTTTAGTTAAATTTCTTCTTGTTTATCTTTCCCTAACTTAAGTGGGCTGTCGAAAAAACATGTCATAGCATTGTCGCTGTTCCTGTTCGTAGGAAATAAAGCCTGTACCCCATGGCGTGTTCTCTTGTGGCAAGTATAATTGCTATAACATGGCTTCTTCTGATAGACAACCGAAGGGTCATTGATGTCGCTCAAGAGGATTAAAAAAAGAGCCCCAAAATCAACCCGAAACAACTCATTTTTTGGGGGTACACCCCAAAAGTCCCAATTTGGCTCAAAATTGTGGATTTTGAGTTGATGGCATTTTTAGCTTCTTCAGCCTCTCTTACAATTATTTCATAGCATTAGAACCCCTAAAGTCTTATTTCTTCCTATGCCGCACACGTTTCTCAGTACCATGTCCTCAAAGAGTCAATCTTTTATTTTTCTGTATCGCCTATTTTCTCAAAGAGCAGTTTTTCTATATACTTTTTAAATAACTACACCATTTTTCATCCAATCTTCATGAAATTTTCACAGAATGAAGACAGGATGTAATACCATTTTTAAAACTTGAATTTTGGATATATGGAATAGATTTGTGTTGGTGGTGCTGGAGTGTGGATTTTATGGATTTTTTTGCAAACTTGAAAACTATCTTAGGAAAAAATTCATTACAAATTTCTTAATCTGTTCAGGAAAAATTCAACAGACAATTTATAGATCGAATGTTTGCTAACATGCATGCACCCCCCCCCCCAAATCTATTTCCAGGAAAAATAAGTACGGTCTTCATTACTTAAGACATGTCAAAAAGATCCAATATTATGGTCGCCGTAGCCACGGAAACAAAACATTTTTCTCCAATTTGATTTCGGATTTTAAGACTCCTTACTATGCTTGTTATATGCGTGAAATTTGGTAACATTTTGTCTCCTAATAAGCGAGATAGCCTTCAGGTTTAGCTTAAACAAGATACAGTTGAGCAAGGAAGATTTTGTGATCAGACCGAAGGGCTAGAACCCAAATGGCCGCTGGATCGGAAAAGTAAAGTAAAGTAAAGTAAGAAGATTTTGTGAAGGGTTGCTTTTACACATTATGTAGTTGACAAAAATAAAAAAAGGCAAATTCTCTAATACAGTTTTTAAAAAAAAATTACTTTATCTTTTGAAGGTAGCTTTCCACAGACCGTTCATAATATTTCACTTCGTAAGCAAGAATAGCATCATAACATAGTGAAACGTTAATTCTGGTAAACTACCGCTTCCCTGTCTCGGACGTCTACAATACAATTTGGCGAGAAAAAATCCTGAAGGTTAATGTATGCACCCCTCAACAGTCTGAAGCTGTGACCGTCGACTTTTCCTTGCCACAGAAGAAGTCTATGTTACGTATTATCAGAAGTCAGCTGCAGTAACTAGCCCCCGTGCAAAAGATTTTCAGAGACGTCTCCGGCGAGCACACAGGAACTATTCGGAGACGCACTCCCGCACACAGATGCACTGTTTTGGGGGATCAAACTGCGTATTATTTGCTGCAGATCACACACAGAGCCACTAAAACTGTCGCAAATCAATCATTTTCAGAAAAATTCCGAACCGAACTTCTAAATATCAAATTATGGGTTAAAACAGGTTTGGAGAGGGGGGGGGGC